TGGACATCCTCTTCATCGTCTAAATATTCTTCAAGCCAGTCCCATAAATGAACTGGCTTACATACGTAACGAAGGTAAAGAAATCCCAACGCGCGTATATGTCTAATAACAGTTATTAATATTCAATATGATATACCTTTTATATGAAAATAATAGCGAACCATACATACGGAGAATCGGTATGTTGAATCAAACCATTAATTTGTTTTACCGTTAATCGTAAAGTCCAAAGCTTGTAAAGCAAACAAAAGGCTGTTGACGCAGTTGTTCCTTTAAGGAAAGGTTCTATCAAACCAAAAAAAGTTATTCAAAAATTATTGAGTCTGCATTGAATATATGGTACGAACAAATCCGGTAATAAAGTAAATATTTTGATGTTGTTTACCTACCAAGAGACTCAACTAGAATTATAGAGTAAAAAACTATAATCAATAACGTGTTGATAAGATCAAAACCAGAGTAAAATGGCTTACCGTGATTATAAATTTCATCTATAACTTCATGATAAGTTTTCAATTCACTAGTAAAATAAAAACAAGATTAACGTCTAATTCATTAGTACAAATTGAGACCAACATACTCACTAAAGTTGTTTGAAATAAGGTGAAGCTTGAATGTTTTGGTATAAAATGTTGTTCAAATTCATGGTCATTTCATTTCCCCAAGTTTCCAATTTATTTGATTGCTTCATTTTTCCTCTTTTTTTTTCTGTGAATAAGTGAACTGACCATGAGATTTTTATACTTTGTGGAAATCATTGGCCAATCAAATGATGTGAAAAAATTCCGCAGATTTTACATTACTATAAAAAAAAAAAAGAATAATTTTTTTTTTTTTTGTTTCAAAAATTTTTAGCATAATGAGAAGCGTTCCAAAAGAGTTAACATTGCGAGATCATCAGATCGGTAATTTCATATTTGTATTATCTTTTCAATTGTTTTAGCATATCGAAAGATAATATTTACTTTTTAAAAATAAACAGAGGCGATTGTGACGATGCTCAACCTTAACACCAAACCAGAAGTTGCAGTTATACCAGCATCATCGGAGAATACGCCAATTCCTTTAGCAAATAATGAACCGGTATGGAAGGTTTTGATATTTGACGAATTTGGTCGGGATATCATTTCTTCTGTCCTTAAAGTTAACGATTTACGCGAGAACGGTGTAACTGTTCACATGTATGCATATTTAATCTTGGGAATCTTTCATTGTCGTTAACTCATAAATTAACGTGTTTCTAAACATGACTCAGTTTTTCAATGGTTTGATGCTTTGTATAGGTTGTTAAGAAGTGAAAGACAACCTATCTCAGATGTTCCTGCGATTTATTTTGTCGAGCCGACATCGGAAAATATACAAAGAATTAGTGAGGTTTGAACACGAGCTAATTTCTTCATTTTTTGATTTTATATTATGATGGTTTTAAAACGGGTTTCCGAAATTTAGGATTTGGCCAAAAACCTATACGAATCCTATTATATTAATTTTTTGACAGCTATTTCACGACCTTTACTTGAAGAGTTAGCGGCTACCACAATATCAAATAACACATCAAATTTAATCTCGCAAGTCTACGATCAATACCTAAATTTTATTGTCTGTGAACCGAACCTTTTTTCTTTAAATCAGCCAAACATTTATTATTCGTTAAATGATCCAACCACCGCGGAAACAGCTATAGAGCGAGCAATTGACCGCACGGTTAGTTCTTTATTCTCCATGTTAGTCACCATGGGAGTCATACCAATTATTCGTTGTCCG